GCTCTCTGGAGGAGCTATAACCGAGGATACACTGATGGTTCCTCCACGACTCCTCCGCGGATGCATTTCCGGGAACGGTGGAGGCGTGACGCACGGCCGGACTTATCTCAGCCAATGACAGCTCTGCATGCATCCCCTGGATATTATTTTAGAAACTGCTTTCATCGCGTCGCGATGTTTCCAGAGAGAACAGCTGTGAGGTCCGTGCAGAAAGCAGAGCAGTGTGTATAATATATATCACTCAGTATAACAGGCCTACTCTCTTTATTTGCTTTAGTTTAGTAGATATATACAAACAAAGAGTCGATATTTTTCTAAGACCATTGCTTCACATAATAAAATACACAACGGCTTATGCTTTTGGAGCTGTAGGTGTGTGTGGTACAGTGTGTAGGTGTGTATGTGGTACAGTGTGTAGGTGTGTGTGGTACAGTGTGTAGGTGTGTGTTGTACAGTGTGTAGGTGTGTGTGGTACAGTGTGTAGGTGTGTGTGGTACAGTGTGTAGGTGTGTGTGGTACAGTGTGTAGGTGTGTGTGGTACAGTGTGTAGGTGTGTGTGGTACAGTGTGTAGGTGTGTGTGGTACAGTGTGTAGGTGTGTGTGGTACAGTGTGTAGGTGTGTGTGTGGTACAGTGTGTAGGTGTGTGTGGTACAGTGTGTAGGTGTGTGTGTGGTACAGTGTGTAGGTTTGTGTGGTACAGTGTGTAGGTTTGTGTGGTACAGTGTGTAGGTGTGTGTGGTACAGTGTGTAGGTGTGTGTGGTACAGTGTGTAGGTGTGTGTGTGGTACAGTGTGTAGGTGTGTGTTGTACAGTGTGTAGGTGTGTGTTGTACAGTGCGTAAATGCGGCGGACAGACGGGTCTCAGTTGGTTTGGTGTCCTCTGCTTACTTTTGATAGGCCTACTTGTAAATACAACTTTTGGCCCGTAATTTCAATTCCCCATTTCAGCGACCAGAGAGAGGGGGGGGATATATCCAGTCTCTGATTGTGTTACGTTATTATGAGAGTGCTCTCATACTTTAAATTGTATATATTTATATAAATATATTTGTGTGTGTGTGTCCGCATCTGTAGCCTGTTATTGTCTCATTATACCGCACTCTCAATGAATTCAAAGTAAATATGTGGGGGAACAATGTTCAGCTGATCTAACAGAGATTATAAAATACAGCGCTATGACAAAACACTCGACAGCTGATGCAGCTGTTGCCACGTAATAATGAACGGACGTCTCTTTAAAATGACGCTCAGAGGAGAGGAGTTCTCATTTCTTTAAACGTCTGCTGCTTCCCCTCCTCTCTCCTCGGTTCCCCTCCTCGGTCCTCCGCTCGCATCTCCTGTGGGCGGGTCTAAGTCTCGAGGAGGGGAACTGAGGAGGGGAGTCGAGGAGGGGAAATTTGAGTATTGAGAAGCCTCTAGTGTGTTTTCATGCCATGTCGACATAGCCACCATTTCCCAAGCCAATAACTGTATCTTGTTTGTACTTAGAGCCACATTTATTTCGTATTTTTTCTTCTATTGCCAAGTTTTTTTCTGTTATACTGTGAATCTTAAATTATAAGTAAAGACTCTTGGACTGTAGTGTAGAGTTGTTGAATTTGAGTCACAGTTTTGAATCCAATCACTTTTATCGTCAGACATGTACACAGCAAACACACGGTGAAATTCAAACTCTGGATAAAACCAATGAAGCATGGGGCAGTGGTCCATTCAGGTACTTGACCAGCAACCCTAACTTAACGTAAGTATCTGAACAAACATCTTTTTTAAACCCAAATGTTTTCCTCAACCTAATTAAGTAGTTTAGTTTGAATTCACAAGGTTAGTATCCGAGCATTGTGCATGTGACCGTGCACCTCACTTTACTCCAAGGTCTGGTCATTGTCTCTGTTCACCACAACATCCAGACAATAGAGAGGCAACATTATTAAACAGACTGGCATTTACGTTGTAAAGTTTAGTTTCTAACATGTCATTTAAATGTGTGTGGGTTTATATGTCATGGTTCATACAGATCACAACCACTTACAACATGTATGGCTTTTAAATGGTATGTCCTTGAGGAAGAAATGCTATTAATAACACAGGTGTCAAACCTTATGGCCCATAAAGCAGGTACCTCACAGGCTACAGTAAGTTTTATTGTCGAGATTTCTAAATCTGGATTCCTCTGTTATCTTTTATACGGCAGGCAGTTTTTATGTGTCATGGATTATTAGTGTTAAAGACCAATACATGTTAACAACCATGCAAGTGAATTTTCAATTATCCAACCCTGGAAGCGAAATGTAAACAATTGAAAGTGGAGAAATGTAATCATGCAGATTCATACAAAGCATTGAACTGAATGATGGGATGAGTTTGAATATGATGTAACACATTATGGCAAAACAGCTGGGCCTCTTTTAGTATCTGTCTTTTTAGCGACTAAATGTTCTTTGGCCTGTTTGACAGTTTTTTAACTTACCCTCTGCTGTTTGGGGTTCTGCAGGGAGAGTATATATTTGTTTGTATCTTATTTGATGAGCTAAACTGCACCAGCTTCCATCACTGCTTCACCTGGAGGATCGATAAGTCATTGCAGCTGGTTTCCATGCTCCTGCAGGCTGTCCTCACTCAGGACCAACAGAGAGACTTTCCCTGCATCTGTAATCCTGCCGTCTGCAGACTGAGGTGTGGAGGAGCCACGTCTGCATTGGATTTCCACTTCTGAATATGTGTGAGCTCTGAAGTTCAAAGTTGCTGTTGCAATCTTGAGCAGGTGGCAGCTCCGATCAATGTGCTTGGATCTATCTATCTATCTATCTATCCATCCATCTATCTATCTATCTATCTATCTCTCTATCTATCTATCTATCTATCTATCTATCTATCTATCTATCTATCTATCTATCATCTATCTATCTATCTATCCATCTATCTATCTATCATCTATCTATCTATCTATCTATCTATCTATCTATCTATCATCTATCTATCTATCTATCTATCTATCTATCTATCCATCTATCTATCTAATCTATCTACTATCTATCTATCTATCTATCTATCTATCTATCTCATCTATCTAATCTATCTATCTATCTATCTATCTATCTATCTATCTATCTATCTATCTATCTACTATCGATCTATCTATCTATCTATCTTATCTATCTATCTATCTATCTATCTAATCTATCTATCTATCCATCTATCTATCTATCTATCCTTTGAAAATTAGTTGATGTTGCTGCGGTAAATTATGCTGAAAGGTAAAGTTGTGGTGTTGTTAAAAGTCTGTTGATTTCAGTGATTGCTACAAGCCACCACTTTCCTATACAAGCTAGTCATGTGTCAATGAAGGTCCAAAAATAACCACATTTCTGCAGGTAAATTAGTTCTGTCAAGAGTCTTGAGGCTCCAGAGGGATATAATAATTTCAATTTATATAGCGCCTTTCACAAAACCCAAGGACTCTTTACAATGAGTAAATGTTGATATGCGAGAAATGTGACCTTAGAATAACCCACACCTGGAAGAAAAAAACCGATATATGTGATTGCTATGCTGCATTGATTCACAGCTTTAGCTTTGAAGAGAATCCTGCTGTGTCCTTCACTGAGATAGATGTCCAGTAGTTGAATGGACATTTACCTGCAGCCAACATCAGAACAAGTGGCTCGCTTTGCTCACTCAGTGTTAGGAGGTCCTTGATAGCTAGGAAATTACAATGACGGACTAACAGTTAGCTCAATTCAATAGCTACTCTCATAGCTGCAGATCTACTGATTTACCAGGAACCTGAATATAGCATAAAGCCTGCAGGTGCTTTCATGGTATTGGACATATCTAAGCCTTTAGTTTTCAACAGGTTGTTAGATAGGTGAAGGCCCAATTATTGTGACTTTTATTCTACTGTTCACTGACCATAAGGAATGCAAAACTGTGCTGTATTGGCTAATTTCTCCCAATTTTTAAAGGTGCAATCAGCTCAAACCAGCTAACACACATTACACCTGGAGTTTTGTAGATCTGGTGCCCTTGTTCAGTTGCCCTTCGTCCGCCTGTTAATCCAGCCTTGGCGTTAGGCATATTGGACATAATTAAAATGATATTGTCTTACAGTAGAGCGCTCGTAGTGACCTTGTATGTCTTATCGGCTTATGGTAATTTGACTGTAGGTCTATCGCATGTGTATATTGTATATTATAGCTTCTTTGCTAGCATAGGCCTGCTTTTGTAATGGACCTGGCAGTGATTAATTAAATCAGCAGCAGTAACCCCTCATTATCCCTGATTAATGATATCAAACCCAGCTTGCCTTTTCAAAATAAAACCCCTCTCATTCTCCAGACACAATGGGGAACTGATACCTGCACATTACTGCTTTTCATGGTTTCATTATTGGTGTTTACCACAACAGTGGATGACTCAGGACGAGCGGTCCTTTGTGTTAAAAATGCCATCATCTCTGTATGCAAAGGTGAGGGGGGAGGGGGGGGGAGGGGGGGGGGGGGGTTCAGGCTGTGTTGGACCCAGTGATGAAATCAAAGGGATTGTGTTCCTGACGACACTGACTGCAAGACATAGGCTATCAGCTCTTATGTGGTGCTGCATTTGAATATTTCAGAGAGGGATCTTGCCTAGAAATAAAACACACATCAAATACAACATTGAATATAGTATTTGTAATTTTGAATAATATTTGACTGTACTCAGTGTAAATATTGTCTTTATTTTTGCTACGTATCTTCTTTCTGTGTCTTTGAATGCACCATACTGTGTACCAAAGCAAATTCCTTGTATGTGTAAACCTACATCTGATCATACTGTTGTGTTGCCTCATTCATGTTGCTGACAAATCCACCGACACGTGAATGCAGCTCCTGTTGAAACAATGCTGCGTGTTGTCACCTTGTTGGCATTTCCCCAGCGTGTTTATTGAGATTTCTACTTGTTGACAGAGAAGGATATTTTGACACAAGCGCTGTTTGTCTTTACACATTCCCTCTGAATAATCGGACATGCGTCCTCCTCCCTCCTCCTGCCTCCCTCTCTGCATTTGACAGTGTCCCTCCCTCTTTCTCTCTCCTCCTCCTTCTCCTCTCATTAGGGCTTTTCACCGGCAAAACACCGACACACTCCCTCTCCCTGTAACCGGGTAATACACACGGATCGGCGGCAGCAGCAGGATTGAGCCCCGGTGCGCACCATCCATGGTCCTCCCCTTGATGTGGGTCTGACAGGAGGGTATGTTGAAATATTCGTATTTTCCTCCTCTTGCTGGTTTCCTCCTGGCGTTATTAGCCCAGAATTGGTTGTGTTAAGCGATGTATTGAATGTTTCTACGAGATATTTTCTGCGTAATTCGTGAATGGTTACGATTTCCGCTGCAGTGCAAATGCATTTATTGAAGCTGTTCATTTTATAATGCGCACGGACTTACGTCCTCTGCTGGGAATGAATAATATTGTGGGAATGAAGCAAGTTGTTGCGTCGTTTTGTGCCCATTGGCCCAAGCAGTGTTGACAGAGAACCTTGCAACCAGGCAGTAACCCCCCACCCAGCCACTTCATAGATGATGTTGCTCACACACAGCATGGCGGTTTTTTAAATTAGCATTTTGGAATATTTGTGTTTTTTAAAGTTGCTCGTTCAGAGATCAGCTGTTGTCTGCTTGTTTCAGCTTGTCAGGGAAAACTGGATCTGCTGTTGGCTTAGTCAGTCCAACACACCCATCACTAATTATACACACACACACACACACACACACACACACACACACACACACACACACACACACACACACACACACACACACACACACACACACACATACACATACACACACACACACCTTGCCCACACACACCTGGCCCACACAAGTGTTGCTTGGGACTGTGTAACACTTTGTAAGTGACGCATGAGTGTGTGTAAAATACAGGCTGGGAGATACTTGGCTGCTGTGTGTGTTTGCCTGCATGCTTGGGCAGGTCCATGTATGGAAATAGCCTGACCTTTGGCCCTTTGGCTTTAACGGCTTTTTTCTGAATTACATACTGTATTTAGGAGACATTTTTCAGCTGTGCACGAGTTTGCATCACCTTCCAGATGCTTCTCATAGACTCTGTGTGGGCACCTGCAGCTAGCTTCTCAAACTGCATTCATCTCCTTCGGGCGTAAGGCTTTGGGAAGAACATACGTGCATGTACGTGTCTGTTTTGCATGCTGGCTTCATCAGCCTAATACTTTTCTGGCTTGTTTATGACTGTATGCTCAAAGTTCTCTTGTCGTTGCAGTGATTCACAATTCTAAATGTATTGAATGTTCAATACTGTCATTGACGGCTGATTGCTCATTTCTATTAGGGTATCTAGCTGGGTGATCAACAACTTGCTTCAGTAGCCAAAAGCAATTCTGTCAAGCAGCTAGGCTAAAAACAAGCCTCACTGGAGGCTACATTTTGGTCTTGGTCATGTCTCAGAAACTGACATCCATAGAAACGAATCGACAAAGCTCTATGATTTTACATGTGTGTTCAGCAGATTTTAGGATTTTTGAAGCTGAAATGCAATCACCATGAGTAAAAAGCTAACGTTTGGCTACAAACAAACCCCATCCCAGTTTGCATGGCTGCGCATCACCACCACTAAGCTAAAGGCAGAGTCATGTCGGCGTAATGACGTTTAGTATTCATTCAGTTACTTGTTAGCAAACGCCGTTTTTAAGACTCAGCAAAGCTTCAGACATTTACGAGTGGGGGTGTTTACTGACATATGACATGGATAAAACCAAATACCCTATTTTAGGCATTTAAGCACAAACGCACTAAAACAAAGTTGACTTCCAGACAAGAGAGCCAAAAGTGGTAAAATCATTTCTGGGTTTTAGGACGAATTCCTGCTCTACAATATAAGATGTTTTCAATAGCAGCTCTCTTGATTGGCCAAACAAAACTATACTCCTTCCTCTGTTGGTTTGTCATGTCCTTCTAATTTACTCGACTCAGATAAAGTGTGTTTCAGTTCCCCTGCAGTGTTATCCTACAGGTGGACTTTTCACACTCTCCTTGCAGACTGCACACAGCATCCCTGGCACTACCATCGGACAAAATTCTCCCCTTGCTGTGTCAGCCTCGCCTCGCCACCTCTCAGTGTGTCACCTGATGCTTCTTCCCCCCCCCCCCCCCTCCATTACCTCCTCTCAGCAGCAGTTTCTCCACTGTTTGCTACATCATGATTCGTAGAGTTCACATCCAATCCAACTCAGAGATTGCCTTTTTTTGATTTTCGCCGTTGTGGATATGTGCACAAAGTCTCACTACTGGTGTGTGCATGTCAGTGTCGAGCTCTGGGATTTCACAGCACAGCATGCTGCCTTCCACCATTTGCAAATCAAATGAGCATGTATGAGGCATCCAGTCAGGCCGAAGCCCTCCTCTCCTCTGCGTCTCATTGGACGCTCTCATACCTCGCACTTGAAAGTTAACTCAACCATTTCTTATTGACATCTTGGTTGGAAAAGGGGGGGGGGGGGGGCGTTAGGCGCTCAGTATCACAGAGGGAGATTGGGTTTTTCTTTTGGTGGCCATCTTACCTGAGTCATTGTTGTAGCTCTTGGAACCTGCAGGGAGTGCTGCATAATTGTGTGGGGTCACCCTGATGTTACTGATGATGATGATGCAGTGTGTGTGTGTGTGTTGTGTGTGTGTGTTGTGTTGTGTGTGTGTGTGGTGTGTGTGTGTGTGTGTGTGTGTGTGGTGTGTGTGTGTGTGTGTGTGTGTGTGTGTGTGTGTGTGTGTGTGTGTGTGTGTGTGTGTGTGTGTGTGTGTGTGTGTGTGTGTGTGTGTGTTGTGTGTGGTGTGTGTGTGTGTGTGTGTTTGGTGTGTGTGTGTGTGTGTGTGTGTGTGTGTGTGTGTGTGTGTGTGTGTGTGTGTGTGTGTGTGTGTGTGTGTGTGTGTGTGTAGTGATGTGTGTGTGTGTGTGTGTGTGTGTGGTGTGTGTGTGTGTGTGTGTGTGTGTGTGTGTGTGTGGTGTGTGTGGTGTGTGTGTGTGTGTGTGTGTGTGCTGTTGTGTGTGTGTGTGTGTGTGTGTGTGTGTGTGTGTGTGTGTGTGTGTGTGTGTGTGTGTGTGTGTGTGTGTGTGTGTTGCGCTTGTCATTGCTTTTGACCCTGCTGAATGTACTTTGACTCGCCATGTTTTTGTAGCCTGGTGATTGTTGTCTATCCTGCCACACACATGCGTTTGTAATGCTATACTTGTGAGGTACTTGTTGACGTCATGCTTTCACCATAACATCAAACCACAACCTCATCTTTAGGATTATCAGTACATCAACTTCCACTTTTCACACTATTTATATTCATGGCAATAGCTGTGTTTTATTGTTTGCATTCAGGCTTTGTATACTATATATATATATATAGTTGTTTTCAGGCATAATGGAGGCCGCAGCATTCAAACTGCATACACACACTCACAAGGGATTCACAGAAAACAATGCATGCAGGTACTAGACATGATATGAAAGACAAAAGCTGGTGCATGATTATTTTGGAACACATTTTTCATCAATCACATTTTGAAAGCAAATATTATTTTTGGTTTCTATCACAGCCTTATCCTTTTGTTTTAAGTAGAGTCTGTGCATTTCACTTTTATCTCAGTAAAAGAAAACAGTTTTATGCTTTAATGTTCAAAAAGCTCTTTACTTGTCTCACTGCCTGCCTGTGCTGCAGCACCTCTTTTCACCCTCTGTCTGAAACCAGAGCCCAGTCTGCTCTGATTGATTAGCTGGTCGGCTCTGTTGTGATTAGTCAACCGCTTACAGATGTCCTGCCCCTTAATCTATCACGTACAATGTGTTAGAGCATTAGCCAATAGAAGCGTCAGTGTTACATAGTGATGTCACCATGTTCCTGAAGTAAATAAAGAAGTCCAAGAGGCGTTTCAGGCAGGTGTATGTGGGAGAGAAAGTCTTTAGATGTTGGCCTACCCAGTACCCATGCACAAACACCTATGTAACGGAGGGAAGGAACACCTGAAAAAGCTAAACCCTCATTTTACCTTTTTAATCAGATTTACTGCGAAGATGGAGGAGTTGTGAGAGATGTCTAAAAAAAAGACCAGTCGAAATTGGTGCATCCAAGGTTTAGAAATCCTTACTTTCAGTTGCTCTCAGTGCCATCTGAATGACATCATCTCCATGCCCCAAGTTTATAACGCTACTCAAAGTCTCAAGCCTTATTAATAATTAAAACTTTATATACACAAGTCAGTCATTTTTTACCCACTCTGTAACTTATACGTGATACTTGATGACTGTTATTGATTGGCTATAATAATCGCAGTCCTACAGTGCACTGCAGCTGTTAACTTACCTGAAATGCCTAATTTGGAGGCAAAATCTCAGTTTTACTTGCTTTTTGCATAATTACTATAAAAGAGAATAACACGGCATTATCGCAGCTGAATCCAACAAAGGTATAATCACAGTGTGCTTTTTATTATACTGGAATACAATGTAGCCTAATCAGGATGCTTTATCTGCTGCAGGCCTGTCAAAATCTCGCTCCAGCATCAGGTGGGTCTTTATTGTGTGTTTCAGCAACGTTTACACAATGGCAGCAATCCCATCCCCTTTTCCTCCTTCCTTAGAGGGTCTCCTTCCTTAGAGGGTCTCCTTCCACGTTGCAGTCCTGTTTTCTGATCAGGGCTTTATTTAAATGTTTTACTCACACAGCTTTGGGCCGATGTATTGCCTTCCTCCAATTGCATCATTCTGTCTACAGTCGGGTGTAAGAAGGGGAGGAAGAGGAGCTGTTCCATGCCATAAAGCAGGTTTATTTCACCATTCTGTTTCCCTTCAGTCATATGGCTCCTCACGGTTGATGGGAAAGCATGACTTTGCCCTTCTGAAGGGGAGGCAGGGAGCTTTACCCCGAGCAGGCGCAGCTCAGCCCCATGATTACAGTGAGTCAGCAGGTTCTGCATCGCTTTTTTTCTACTTCCTTTGCATACCTTCCCTCGCCTCCCTCTCCGCTGCTGTCGTCTTTGAACAAATCCCCTGCCTCTCAAGGATGAGGCTCATCATGTTGTTGTCTGGCTTTGATCTGGTGCAACGATGCCTGTAATGCTCCTCATGTTCTGCCTCACGACAGAAAAGCAGAATTTATATTTCAGGCAATTTTTTGGGGGGGAAATGTTACACTTCTTTTAGGACTGTTTACTTCTTCGTGGCCTGCCATGGAA